TATTTGCTCATTTTATTCGCCACATAAGATAAATGCACATAAAATCTTTGTTGCAGCTGCTCGCAGGAAAGTAAGAGTTTGTTTTTTGCCTTCCTCACGCTCTGGGCACTTTTTTACGTTTTAACACATTTTTGACTCTTATGAGAGAGTAACTTATTATTACACTCTAATTACCGAAACAGCCCGGAAAGCTTGTGGAACAAAGCTAACGTGTCATCAGCGAATTGGAAAATTTTTACTCCCTGTAGTATATCTTCCATATAATAGGTTTGTTCCACTAGCTACTTGTAGAAAACCTCGAGCGTTCCCACGACAGTCGGGTTCATGATAGAAACATAGTAAGGTTAAAACCGTTCCTCAATTCGTCGGCCATGATTTTTTTTTGAAGTTTGCCAATATTTTAAAATCATATAAAATTGAGAGTAAAAAAAAGGAATTGTTCAAAGTTGCCCAACAAGCATTTCAGTAAACGTTTTTAAAAATAACTTAAATTAAGTTTGCTATAATAAGCGTTAAATAAGCATTTTTAATATTAAGCTTATTAAAAGTTTTTTCAAACAAACCTTTAATACGTTTTGAGAGCGAATGTTTATAAATAACTTAAACTTATAAATGAAATGTAAATGCCAACGACATGAAGTAGTAAATATAAAATTTTTTCAATCGTAAGTGACGTGTTTACGTTTTTTAAAATATATTATTAAAAGAAAAAATTAAATAAAGCCAATGCGGTAAAACAAGAAAATCCAATCCAGGACCCGCTGCGCTAATCGGTGGAGCATTCGAGTCTTCAAATGATGAGTTCCCCTTATCCTTTCTTAGTTTAACATTCAATTAAAAACGTATTAAATTTTTTTCAGAAAAGTTCATCAATGAGAATGGCGGCGATAAAGCGCAATATATAGCTGCATCGATGTCCCTTTTCCAATTTGCCAATAACCGCAAGTAATTGAAAGCACGCAACAAGATGTAATAATTAACTTTTTTATGCTTAATTTGTATGTGTTATTGTGAATTTGTATGCTAAAATGTCTATTCCCTATTTATATTTTCGCGACTGTAGATGAGTCCGCGGAAAATTCGTATTTCGTTTAGTTTCTAGATGTTAAGCAATCTATGTATGAGGTTTTAATGAAATATCTTTAAATAAAGGGTTATAAAAATGTTTATAAAAAGCTTTCTTTTGAAAATTTTTAGTAAGTTTATATTGGTCCGCTTATATAAAACTTTTTTTGAACCTTTATTATAAGTTTACACTTTTACGCTTATAAAAAGCTTTCTTTTGAACATTTATTACAAGTTTATATTTCTACGCTTATAACCAATGTTCCTTTTCGATTATATTACGCTTACTTTCAAGCGTTTTATAAACAAAAAATCAACGTTTTGTAAGCTTAATGTTTATAATTGAAAACTTAAAAAAAACTTTCTTTAAGTTTATTTTGCTTGTTGGGTGTTGTTTGAGATTGAAAATGAGAATGTTTGTGTGTAAAATTTTAAAATTAAATTTCTTGCAAACGCCAAGAATTTGAAAAATTCCTCTCAACGGTTCTACCTTCCTATTTTTTTATCATGGTCGGGTCTACGTAACCGGAACGACCCAGATTTAGATTTGGCTAAGGACTGTCACTCCAGCAACACTTCCAAAAACTCTTTGGTGAATTTGTATGCTGCTACAACAAAACAACAACAAAAACTCGAGCAAAGAATTTGGTGCACTGTCAAATGTTGTTTAAGTAACTCTTTAACCACTGATTTTCAAAAATCTTCAATTCCATACCGCTCCATTTTTTTCTAATAGAATATCGCTATCTATTGTTTAGAAAGTTCGCTTGAAGTCCAAAAATGCAGCATCTATACAATTTCCTTAGTTTATTTCTAATTTCCAATCTAAGTTACTAGATTTATCGTCGAAACGCAGCTGTGACGTTGTCGGAACTCCGATTGGTTGGCACCTTTTGCAGTGTCAAAATAATATTAGTTAGAGAGTATAGCTTGATAGCCCTATGATACATAAATATACCTACCAAAATATTTGTATTTCTACATTTCGCCAGTGATATTGCAAAACGTCGATGGTAGACGGTAGATGGTCTGCAATACATGTGCCAATCGTTACACTTTGGATGATTAAAATGAACGATGACTTAACAGAAGCGTTCAGATACAGGTGACAGATCATTTAAGCCCCCCGATGTATGTACACACATACATACATGTATGTAAATACCTATGTACATATTAGGCACATGCCATAAAATAGAAGCGAACAATGTAGCATCGAACCATACCTTAAAGTATATCTTATCGTCAAAAAGTAGGTTTAGCAAAAATATAGATAATGCATAGTGACGCTTATAAGATAAGAAAAAAGCACAACAGAATTAATAGCGAAAAATAAAACTAAAGCTTATACCAAAAAGTTTTTTATATTATCTATTAAATACCTGCAAAAAGGTACATCTTTTTCCGACAAAACCTCAGAAAACTTCAAGTGACTCATCGCCAACTGCAAATCCTGGGCATCCAAAGATTTATGTACTTATGCAAGTTTATAGGTATCACTTTATACAATATAGACACATGCATTATTATGTATCTGCATGGGGTTTCTTTGTTTCCAACTTCTTTGAACGACATTGAACTCATACCAGTACTTGCATACGTACATACATATGTATGTATCAATTTAACTACAAACAACATACAAGCTTTTAAGACTTTTTTGTCGAGCAAAGTGCTGCATGCACTTAAAATGCTAAAGAGAAAGGACATTTTTTTAAAAGAAATGCACAACAAAATTGCTACTGTACAAATAAAGTTTGCTTGTATGAATGTAGGAAAGTGCTGAAAAGCATAAAACAAAGCTTTCCCAATATTGTGTATGTACTTATTTAAGTACTATTTACAATCATTGCTAGCATTTTGGTACTGCGCATCATACGCTTCATTGGCGTCTTTGCTGCCTCATAAGTATGATACATATGTATGTATCATACACGCAATTGTATGTAAACAACCCACCTCCTGCGCAACCACCCTCTAACTTTTCAACATGTGGAGGGTGGCCTGCTCTAGCTGGCGACAATGTACTCTTTCTGGGTTACGCGACTGTAGATGTCAACGAGCTCCCGCTAATAGGATTAGTCATAAGGAAGTAATTGCGCAAACAAAAGTTTTAAAACTATTTTTTGTATGAATACGCGCACAAATCAAAGTACTAAGACTAAATCAGTGCATTTGAAAAAGAAAAACGTATCAAGGCTGTTTCAGTACTCCAAGAGTTAATCATATTTAGTACGGAAGATAATACTGACATTTTAATGGTGTGCCGACTAATTCCTGGAGTACGCGAACAGCCTAGTGTACAGAATAACCAATTACCTGGAAGAGGCTAGTGTACAGAATAACCAATTACCTGGAAGCAAGGATATGGGTATGCCGCCTTCCTGTTATTAGCGCGTCCGCACGTACCAAAATTCTATCGGGTTTTTTAGCGACCTTTTGCACTTAGCACGCGCTGATCACGAGTAAAAGGCTTATTTTATTTATTTCACTCCAACACTTTGGATTTTTTTGACACGCAGTACGCACTGTACAACTTAGCACATACATATGAAAATATGTAATAAATTTTTTTGTATATTTTGGTCCGATTTGATTACTCGTCGTGACGAAACGTCATCATATGCGAAGATTTCTTTTTTCTCTCGTACAAATGCATAAATTTTTCACGGGAACATTCAAGAGATTTGGTACAACAAGCTTAATAATGTATGTGCTACTTTTGTATTGCAAAATATGTTATTTGTTGAAATCTTAAACGCATTCGCCCATTTTTATCATGATTTCGCCTACTTCTTTTTTCCTACTGACGAGTCAACACTTTTCGTTTTTGCATATCTCTGGCTACCACCTTTTGATCACACAACTGTGCTTTTTTCCATGGCTTTCATTGTGTTTTATTGCTATGCGACACCTGTTTTTGTTTGCTCAAAAAACACTTTTTATAATCAGGAATTAATTATTTTTGAAACGGTACTTATTAAAAAGTTAACTTATTCCACACAGCACGAACCTTCCGTTGGCGAAATAACGAACAGACGTGAAATGACAATTTGCAAAAATATATAAAAGACAGAAAGAGTTAACTGTCAAATTTGATGTGAAGGAGAATAACAAAAAATGGATGCCAATTAATTGCAAAAGTTTTGTAATTTTGCATTTTGTCAGAGAACGTAAACTGTAACAAAGAACGTAAATCTATAACAAAGACCGTAAATCTATAACAAAAAACCAAAGAACGTAAATGTATAAGAAGCGACAACTCGTTACTTTGAAAATGGGCCGCGACGCTTTGGATCGTATCTGAGAGGTTGAGATGAGTAGTTCGTCTCCCTTTTGACTGCCCGCAGAAAATTACATTTTTATTAAATAATGTCAAGTTTGATCATCCGTTTATGTAATTTTTATTTTCACTGCATGATTATGCAAAAGAATAAAGTATAATTTTCTTGTTAATTGTGTGAAATAGCCAGAACAACCGCAGTGATGTGAAGTCGATGTTTATCGAAAGCACGCTGTGAAACATACAAATAGTAGATATCTAAATGTTATGCACAAATTTACTTTAAAAGAACTAGCGTGAAACTGACTTATTATTTGGGAATTTATATAAATTATTCCAATTATAAAATTGTGATGTAGCTTTATTCGAATTGTAATACGCATTTAATTTCATCTTCCGATTAAAACGGATCGATCTTTGTAAATTTTCATTGGAGATTATTCAATATTATCAAAATCACCCTCTACCAACTTAATTTTTACATATTTCGTCTGTTTTCCCTTAATTTGACAAAATACTTCTTCTTAGTTACGTTTTGTTTTCAACGTGCAAGAACAAAGAACGTAATGGATTTACGTTCTTTGTTATAGATTTACGTTCTTTGAATGATTGAATCATTCAATAAACAGTCCTTCAAGCTTTTACCCTCAATGCAACCCTGTGGTTGTCTTTATCTTGTTTTCAATCATTTGAAAATTTATTTGAGGCGGACGCTCGACGATTTACATTTTTTTCAGCCCAATTGTAAGTAAATATGATAATTTGTGTGTTGATACATTAAAATTATTATTTAGGCTTTTCTCCCTTCAGCTATAAAAGGTGCACAGTCATTTGAGTATATAATAAAAGAGCGTATGTAAATTCAGGTTGGCTTTTGCGGTTTTCGTTAAGGGCGCCAAGTAAACGGCATTTATTTAAAACCTCTCATCTTGGCAAAAGCAATTTTCGCAAGATATGGGCGACTACAAGCTATTAAATAAAGAAATAATAGATGCTAATCGAGAATTAAAACAAACTCTATCCGCATACCAAACAGAGTTGGTGAAAATGCGCGGCGAATTGATGGAACAGCGTCGCGTTCAAGTTGAGGCAGAACGTGATTACCGCGACAGTTTGCTTTCATTTTGGTCACAAAATTTTCTTTCGTTTGCACGTAAGATCGACGAAAACGTTAATGTATTGGAGCTACTGGGCCATGACAAATCAGCACAGAGCTTGAATTCTCATGTCGGCATCCGCGGACAAAGTAATAGCACACGTCGTAGAAGCACACAGCTTGTTTCAGACTTTCGACGCTCAAGTGCAGTATGCCGCCAACGAAGTGTAGTACATATGTCGCCAACACGCCGCCAACGCGAAGACAATGCAATTGAAGAGGAACATGAGACGGGCCCTGTGGTTGGAGACGAAAATCTAAGCGGAAGTGACATGGATTTGGATAACTCATTAAATGTTATTGACGTCGATAACGACGAGACTTTTGAAAATGCACAGTTGCGATGCATTCGAGAAGGCAATGAGGAAGAGGAAAAAGAAACGGATGAAGGTGAAGAGCACAATGAGACTTATGAGGAGTCCAACAGACAACCAATAAGAGATGTAACAAATTGGAATGTGGAGCACAGAGATCCCAAAGCGTGCGTTGCAACTAGGCGCGGTAAAGGGCAACGTCTACGGAATGACAGTGAAAACTCAATAGAGCTTGCGCGTAATATTGAACAAGGTTAGTAAATTGTATATGAATCTAATATATATGTGATTATTTTGTATTATTTTAGATGACAGACAACAATCGGCGAGTCATTTGAGTGAGGGTGATGTAGAAGATGACTTGACCAATATACTGCATTGTACTTTACATGTGTCACGTAGCGCAAACGATTTGCGCGAATTAACTAATAGTAATGGGCAAACAATTAATCCATTCCAAAATGAGAACTTAAACCGACATCTTAGGGTTAGAGTGCAACGGCTACACGAGCCCCAAAAAAATGATGTTCACTTTGCTAATGAAGGTAAAAGTGCTCATATGAAAACACATATACATACATATACTTATATGTACATATTTCGATTTTAAATGTAAAACACATATTTTTTACAAGCCCTTATAGAAAATGTAATAAGACCAGAAGAAGAGCCCTCGAGCGTAGATGTAAGAAAATACTATGGTGAACAGGAACATGGTATGAAGACATATAACAATACAATTTTGTAATAGAATTTTTATTTATCAACAGATCCCCTCTTAGGTATAACTACATTGTCACTGGGGGATTTCCAGGAGTTATGCTCTAGTACACCTTGCCACAAAAGAGCCCAAGCGGATTCAGAAAACAGAAGTAATGAAAATTCTGAATTATACTCCTTTAGCTCAACTTGCCAAACGATGCGTCCATCGCGCAGATGTGCGCCAAAAGCCTTGGCAGAACCAAGTTTAAAAGAAAAGCTTCGCAGTGACAGTGGAAAAAGAAGACCAAAAAAACGTTGAACATTTTATTTCGTAGATAGTGCACTTCATCATCAGCATAGTTAATAGTTTTAATTCATTTGTACTATTTGCACATTTTGTTTATTTATGTATGTAATAATAATTAAACAAGTAATTTTTAGCAAAAAAACCGACTTCAATTCTCATATAAAAAAATATATACAGTATTGGGCATATCTATAGCACCCCCCTTTCAAAGCGATATTGTTTGCCACTTATGTTTAGTTATTTGTTTTTAAGAATTTTCAATTAAAATACAGTTCATTCTCTAACAAAATCCATATAAACCCATGTTTTAAACTTTTCAAAAGACCGCAAAAAAGCGCAACAAACTCCCTTAAATTTGAAACTTTTTTCTCAGAAGCTCTAGAATTTTTTTGAGTACACAGTTTTATAGCGCATTCAATTTTAGTCCAATAATGTGCAAGTTTCACGTCGCTAAAGATTACCGTTGATTTTTTTAAATTTTTTTTGTCTAATTTGCTTCCATATAACGACCAAGGCGAATTTATATAAGGCGGTGTTACTTATAAGTCTTAAAATAATAGTTATATGTGAAAATTTTAACCTTTCGTCCCCTGGTGAAATTTATAAGTAGAAGATAAGGCCAGAAATGGATTCCTCATACTAAACAACCCTTTATGGCATGATATTAAACAAAATTAAGCCACTACCTATTTGAACCTATTTCCGCAATTTGGCGAACTCCAAACCTATGGTTTCTTCGGAAAATTTGCTCAGAATTACTCGTACATCTTAAGGTTAGAGTGCAACGGCTACACGAGCGGCTACACTGGCTTGGTCATGTGATACGATTGGACGGAAACGCTCCATCTCTTGTATGGCCGCACACGATACATTTGCTCTCTACACCAACAAAATTTGATCGGCTCTAATTTTTAACAAACCAAAGACTTTCGTTACGGCACAAAAATGATAAAATGTAATGCAATTATTTTATTTAAAATTTATTTCAACATTGTAACTAACTGTAAAAAGTTGAAATCGTTCAATTTTTTTAGATCGCTCCAAGGCATATTAATATACATAGCATAACAAAGCGTTACATAAAAGCTCAATAAGTCGGCTAACATACAAAATAATACAAGTAACATATATCCTTACATATTTGCCACTCCTCAGCATGCACATACATATGTAGACATATATAAACAAATGCGCATACCTGCTAGCTATAATCAAGAGTTCTCTAGACAACTTCAATTTTGCCAAGACAACATTTCAGATGATCCGCGGTTTGTGTCGCAGCAACATCAGGAATGTGTTGTGTATTCTCATTTATTTCTGAAATGATATCCTGAATTTTCGAGAGTATCTGCCGCGATTCGGACGCAGTCAGTTTCTCATTGGCTTGCGCCTCAGCAGGGTTGCATAGCTCCTGTTGTTGTGTTTGCTGCTCCTCAAGGGCTTCGCTGGCTTCGGCAATCAATGGTGTTGTGGCCACACCCTCAGCATCTTTAGCCGCGTTGGCATTGCTATCCACTGCAATCGCATTAAAATGCTCCGTTATTGGCATGCGCTGTGGCAGATCGGCACTAAGACTGCTCACTAGGTTATTCAGCAAAGCGATTCTTTCGCGCAATTGCTCACGTTCGCGCTGTAACAACTGCATTTGTGCAGCCTTCTCGTATTCGCGCTGTTTCAGCATGCGCCGTTGTGTCTGATACAGCGTAATATATTCGCCAATGGTCTCAGTTTCACCTTGCAGCTGCAGCACTAAATGCTCCAAGCGTTGCTTCTCATCGGTCAGATCGGCCACTTGTGACATAAGGCGCGTAAAACGTTTCTCCAATTTCCCAACCGCTTCATCGGTAGGCAGATGTGGAGTGCTTGTATTGCTGCTGCTGTTGGAAAACTTTTTTACATGCTTTGGTTCATGCTGGTGCTGATGATGTTGGGTGTATTCGTGATCATCTCTATGTTCATGAGCGCGACTTTGTCCGTGTGCATGATCATGGTAATGTTCGTGTTCATGTTCGCCATCACACCCGTTGTGTTTATTTTCTTTTGTTTCATTATCACTGTCGAAATGATCGCCGTGCTCGTGTCGATGCTCGTGTATATGGTCCTCCTTATTGAATTCTTCAAGGTGATAACCTGCTGATGCTAAATCCTCGCTGCCAGTCTAAAAACCAATAGTTCAATATTATAAATTATTTTAAGCATATATGTAATCAATTATACCCTATGATTGAGATAGTATTCAAGTTGTTTCTGCAACTCTACCGCTTGATTCGTTAGCTCCATATTTTCGTGTGAAAGTCGTATCATTTCCTCATCCTTAAATTTGAAACGCTCATCTATACTACGTAATTGTTCCTCCATTTCAGTATAGTTTGCGCGCATTTCGCGATTGGCATGCTCTTCCGCGTCCAATTTGTTCACTAAATCTGCTTTGTCATTTGTCAATTGTACAAAACGAAGCTCCAACTCGTCCAGTTGCTTCTTTAATTCGACGTTTTGGGTAAGTGCACGCGAAGCGGCAATTTTATCGGATTCCATTGTGGCTAGCAACTTTGTTTTGTCTGGCTGTTCGGCAGCATAATTGTGCATATACTCTTCCATTTCTTCCAGTTTTCTTTGTTTCTCCTGCAATTCACCGTTTAGCTTTTCTAGACGATCTTCTTGTGACTTAATTTTTAGTTGGAATTCATGTCGTTCCAATTCAAAATCATTTATTTGTTCCTTTAATTTTTCTACTTCTCCGTTGCGCTTCTCAGTGCTTTGGTTGGTTGCCTACCAGTTTAAAATTTTTTTTTTTTTTTAATTTACACTGCATAATATGCAACATTCCACCTCACCTGTTCTTTCTCTTTTTTCAGCTGATCCTGCCGACTCAGGTTCTTCTGTATATCCTTCTCAAGTGCACTTATGTGATCAACCAGTTGGCGTTCGCGTTCCTGCTGTTTCGTGTACTCATCCATTAATTCTGTATTCTTTTCACTTAAGGTACTTATCTCTGCATTCAGATGTTGCACGTAGCTTTGGTACTGATTGTTCGCTTGTTCTTTGTCATACGTCAATTGTTGCACCATAGCCTGTAAGAAACGCGTAAACATAATAATGTAAACATCTTCAAATACTTCTACATCTAACTTACTTGTAAGTCTCTAATCTGTTGCTCGTACATAAATTGCGTCTGCGTCAAGGTCTCTATACGATTGTCGTCTTGGTTAATATTCGCTTCATCCGACAACTGACGTATGCGCAGCTGCGCCATTTCCAATTCATTTGACTTTTCTTTGAACTGATGTTCAACATCGGTAGCACGTTGCTGCATTACATCTAACAGCCTTTTCAGTTCATCCAGATGAGCCGATTGATCCTCTTGTTTTGCATTCGCTTGTGCCAATTTATTTTGCAACTCAGCGTTTGCACTACGTAATTGTTCCAAGTTTTGTTGCTGTGTTTGATAACGATTCAACACTTCGTCTTGGCGTCTTGTTATTGCATCCAGCTGTGTACGCAATTCTTCCGCTTCCAATTCTCGTTCACGGCAGAGGCAACGATATTTATTCAATTCTGTTGTCAGCGTAGCTTTCTCAGTTATAAGCACTTGAATTGCGTTGACATTTTGAGGCTGTACTGGATTAGCGGCTACTTCTTTAACCGCAGTAACAGCAGTTGACGCACCGTGCTGTGTAGCAAAGCTATCTAATATTGTTGTTGGCGTGCCTTGCGCCGCTGGCGCTTGGAAGTAACTAGCGGCAGTGGGCGGTGCGGGTGAAGATACTGCTGGAACGGCAGTTACGACATTTTCATTTGCTATTGATGTTACTGCAATAGGTTCCCCTGAATTCTCTGCAGTAACTATGTTGGCCACGGCAGATGCCACATTTGTGTTCACACTGTCGTGGCCGTTATTGGATAGATCACAATCTGAAGCTTCAGATATGTTGCTCGATATACTGCCTCCGGCAATACTACTTGCATGCGATTCTGTAGATGAAGCTGTTGCGACATTGGAAGCCACATTATCTACAGCGGCGCGTTTCTGATATTCCTTTAGCTATAAATAAAGTACATGTTTTACTCGGTTTTCTTCTCCAAGAGATCAGTAGAAAAAACTCCCACTTTCCACCCCTCATCAAAATTTTACCATAACCAGACTGACTCTATGACGTGTCACTTATGTATTTACCTTTTTCCGTGCGGCAGCCAATTTTTGCGCCTTGCTCTCATTTGCTTCTTCTACTGGCATAGTTTTTATTATAAAATAGTAAGCCTTTCTTTTTGAAACCGGCTCTTAAAATGTTACTTTTTAATGAAAAGGCGTAGAAACAATTGCAAAATAAAAATATTTCCGATATTTTGACAACTCTGAAAATAATCCCCTAAAAAATTATTCACAATGGCTATGTTGTCATACAACGGCGTATCGAAACAAGAGGTGTGTATATTAACATTTCGAGTCTAAATTGCAGTGAGAGCGTATAATTGAGAAGAGAAAACTAGCAGAAAAAGTTATTGAACACAAAACTATTAAATACTTGCACGTGAACAGTTGTTGCACTGTTTTGACATTCCTGCTGTAAACTTTTTAAAATGAACTAATTATTTTTTAACTCTTTGCTTTACGCACAAGCATTTACACAGTCAAGTTTGTCATTAATATTTTGATTTCCACTCATTTTACTTTTGTTAATGGCAGCTTTTGACATTACATTTATTCTTCTCCTTCTTCAGCTCTTTTTGTGCTACCTAATTTCCGCTAGTAAAAATTTCACTTGCAAGAATTTGCAGCTCTTCAGTGTTATTACGCTCTCCAAATTTTTTGGGTTATTATACACATTTCCAGTAAACATTTGCAGGCTTCAGTACAAATTAGTACTGACTATTTGTTATTATACACACCTAAGGTAACAGCCTCCCAAACTTGAAAGCCTGGCTTTGCCTTTCAATTAATTAATCAAATTCAATCCAATTAATTACCACAGCTCTTGAAACGAAACAGTGAACTTTTACCCAGAGGGCATTAATTTTACCAACTGCTTTTTTATATCTAGGAAAAAATTTAAATTGTCTGTTCGCTCTAGTTGCATCACTGTACTTGCCTGTCTATTGTGAACACTTTCTTGACCCTGGTTTTGCGTACTTCGCTTCATTTCCTGTGGTCATTTGACAGTTGAATACAGTTAATAGAAAATTTTAAAGTTATTAAATGCTCTGTGCTAAGCAATTAAAGGTGGGTCAATTGATAAAAGTATTTAAATGTGCTTTGCATTCCGGGTAAAGGCTACTGCGTAAAATTTTTGTGTGAGTTTAAGCACCAAATACTTAAAAGAGAACATAGTGTTTAATAATACCTACATACGTATGTATGTATAAGAAGTCTTCGTCGCCTCTATAAGGACATCCAGGTGCAGAATCGAGGTACGTGCTCACACTCACTAGTACTTAACTTACTTTTACCACTATTTTGATTGTTGTTGTCGTAACCACTTGAATCTCTATAAAGATTTTTCACGAATCAGCTGCTGGAGTGACACTCCTTGGTCAGATGTGGATTTCGGCCGTTCCGGTTTCGTATCTATCTTTCAATTGCTTTTGCTTGCTTTAGTCATGAAAATGCTTATTTAGGAGCCAAGACTACCTGTTTTTACAAAAGTCAAATGACACTAATCACTTTCCTAAGCATGACTAGATGGAAAAGAGAGTCGGGAACGCCACACGGTACAAATAATTGTAGGGCAATTTATCTAAACACGCAAATGCCTCGTAAGTGCGAAAACCTCGTAAATGAGCCGGTTTTCCATACAAAGTTAAGTAAGTTTATGAGGTTTACAAGGTTGTAAGGCATTTACGCGTTTAGATGAATTGCCCTACTATGTTGGGGGGGGTGTAGGAGCCTACATACATGCACACAATGTGTTTACAGAAGTATATATGTACATGTATCTAATCTCCTGGTCAAACTTAGAAAATTTGGTGGGTTTTTCTGGCCATAGATACAATTATCTCAAATGCCAATCATACACTTTAATCTGCGTTTTACGAATTAAGCAATTAGCAAAAATAGTAGCCCTAGCAAGGAGTTGATCAAAACGGTACAAAATATAAATTTTAAAGAATGCACTTAAAATTGCAAAACCTAGCGCACAAACGACGTTTAACAAATTATGAAATAGACATACGTAAAAAGTCTGAAGGCTACGCACAGTATATCTAACTCAGTAGAGTTAAATACATTCAGGATTTTTTTTCGTCCGAGATCAACGCAATCGAATAGCGACGAAGTTGGTTCCTGCTATCTCTGCATTAGCAAATTGGCAGTTCATGCTGTATAATAGAAGTCAGGTATATTCCGGAACTTGATTGCGTCAGGAAAGGGTTAAACGGCCTAAACTTTGCCTATACTCAGCGAACAAGCAACAAGAAATTTTCGATACTTGCAATGACGAACACATGACTTGCTACAGCGCACAGTGGTGCAAAACTGAAATTTACTCTTCGTAATTCCCTGGAGAGTTCATTTTTCAATAAATTTGATGCATGTATTTTTTTTTCAAAGCTTATTAAATTTTCAGGAAACCTGTTGAGCACGATTTTATAATTTTTATTTGAGAATATTACATTTTTTAGTGCAAAGCGCAGAAAAGGTAGCAATTTTGAAAATGGATTATCCTGGTACTAAATAGTACAAAAAAAACCGGGAAAAATATTTATAGGGTTCCCCTAAAACGAAAAAAATCATAAAATTTTAAATGCTGTAAAAAAAAAATTCCACCAAAATTATATTTTGCAAGTTTCAAGTGGCTGAGAATTTGCGTGGTGAAAAAATGTCTAAAAACTCACAAATTTTTTCTAAAAACTCACAAAATTCTAATTTTGGTGAACTTATTTAACATTTCATATTTTTCTTATGACTTTTTCGATTGGGACAACCCACAGTATACAGTAAACCAACCATTGACAATATGCTTATTTGGAAATTAATACATGAAATATTTGTTTGTCATTAACCCATAGGCAACGACTGGTGGAAAAGTACCCACAAATATTTGTTGATATATTTGATCAGCCAAATTCGTTAAAAAAAAATATTAATACAAAAATATTGTTAATCACTACATGGGAGGTGGGCGTGGTTATTAACAGATTTCGCCAAAATTTAATACCAACCTAAATTATTCCAAAGGCAGCGTCGGCCCTGACTTTCGTTGAAATATCAAAATTTTTTACAAACAGTCACGGCTGAACCAATTCATCTCGTCATTCTGAATATTTCTATAAATATGTACATATGTATGCATGCATTTTATATAGTTGACAAACGGGTTCGCTTATCTGCATAAACCACCTTTATTTGCATTAACTCATGTATTTTCTCCTTGCAAATGAGAATAAACGGCTGGAGAAACACATACAAATTTCTTACATTTGCTCCAACGTGAAGATATAATTTTGTGTGCATGTCTCATTAAAGCTATGAAGGTCTCTACTATAAGAGTTGTATATTTGAAAATGCGAGAGTTCTACTTTTAAGTAAGTACTTGTTCTATTCACTATTCACTGAAAGTTGTGTTCGGAACACGGTATGACTTATGTAGGAACTGCATCCGGTCATAATCACTTAAACTCCACGCGTGATTTGCTTGAAATTTTGTTTTTCTCGTTATTTTATTTTGGCTGCATTTCTTTATTAATTCTGAACGTTTGGAATAAACTTTTTTGTTTACTTATTCTTTAGAACGTTCGTGATGATATGTTAACGTATATTTCAATTGCATTCTGTTTATTCTGGTTGTGAAATGGGATTATCCGGAATGTAAAAAGAAAACAGCCTTTATGTGACTTGAAAATATTTTTCACTATAAGAAAATATTGAAATTGGATTTCTTTTGGGTTAACGAAAACGACAACTGTTAAAACATATCAACCAATACATTCAAACAAATTGTCAAATAAGCATATTTATATTTTTTGTTTTGTGTATCTGGATTACTGTATACTGTGGGAGAACCCTACAATTGTTTTCAACTAGCTTTTTAGCTTTAGGGCCGGTTACTCAATGTCTGGTTAACACTAATCTGCGGTTAAACATCGTTATCGACGTTACCGACTCCCTGTTATATGCATGGTAGCACAAATCGGACGTAGAAGCTCCGGTTAAGCACAACTACTGCTTTATCGATCACATGTTACATGCATGATGTCGAAATCGTCGATAGTGTAGTGGTAGTGATAACCAGACATTGAACAACCGGCCCTTAAACTGGCTACACACGACGAACATCTGCGCGCACATATGCGCCAACATGCTCGCTGTCGTTTGCTACAGACGACGAGCGGCTCATAAGTGATTTTGTACTCAAAGCGTAAACATGGAAAGGAAAGACGCGGATGATGCAATTGCAATGCTTTTAACTTAACTTTTTTATGTATGTGTTACTTAAATTTATTTATATTTTACTTGTATGTACGTACATACATATACTTATAGTAATTTAGCCTCATTTATCAAAAATTCAATTAAATAACATGGCTTAGATGCATTTATCCGCCGATGTGCACACTTCAAGCATCAACACAAAATGGGTTGTTGTTTTTGTTTCCAATGCGATGCTCGCAAACCACGCTACAAACGACGAGCATGCTCGCTGAAAATCAAAATTTTTTGATTTTTGGCGAGCATGCTCGCTAACCGCCCTACAAACGACGAACATGACCCGCAAGCCGCGCATGTGCGCGGATATGTTCGTCGTGTGTAGCCACTGTCAGGTTTTGTAATAAAACAGTCTTCTTGCTCCCACACATAAAATCGGCTCCTTTACTTGTGCAGAATGTTGCTTACTCTATAGTTTCTAGTGATATTAGTAGTAAAACCAAAAATTCTTCATATTAAATATTCGTTGGCGTCAACTTCGTGTGCGTAATTTTCAAGAACAAGTGTAGAATAGCGACCGTTTAGCTATAAAATAACCAAAAATGCCGATTGATAGAACTTTTTACGCTGATTTCAACGATACCAAATTTATTTGGCGCAGGTAAAAAAAGAAGATATAACAGGTTTATTTGCATTTTTTATTATCAATTGTTGACACCCAAAAGTAGATCATGATAAAATATGTAATATCGAATTAAAGATAATAACTTGTACTTTCTAAATAATATAAAATTCTTTACCATTAATTATGCATTTTCTTTAAAAAAGGTTATTTCATGAAAAAATAATATTTGTTCGTTTTTTAGTGGTTTTGGTTTAAAAATACAAAACGCTATAAATTATGTACATCAGCTGAAGAACAAATTAATTACCTTTATGGTGACGTCATTAGATTTTTAATCGGTTATAAAGTTCATAAGATATTAATATTTAAAATATTTAGGGCCGGTTGTTCA